TGCTTCAAGATGAACCATCATTCTAATTGCCCAAGCTTGATAATTCTCACCATTGAAGACTGGTGGAGTTAAGAAGCTTGTTTCAAAATTCATTTTCTATAAACTATTTAAGATAGTAGTTCAAAGAAGGGTTTATATGGTTCACTCTTTTCTCACAGATCCCTCAAGATGGCAATGTTCTAATACCAATCTTTAGGTTTTTAACAGGAGAATAACAGATGTTTACTAAGAAAGAAAAGAGAAGAAACAAGGTTAAGTTTTCTTTTATTGAAATAATGACTGCAATATAAATACATGAATTCATAACTTAAAAAGCTAAAGAAAAGGAGTGAAATAAGCTAACATTATCTCCAATAACTAAAGCCTAAAATATAGCAACTAACTAATCAGATTCTGCCAAATACTGCAGCCTAATTTATCTGAACTTAATCCTACTTTTAAGCTGTATATTGATACAGCAGAAAGTGGAACTAATCTCCAGGTTTTGAGGCGCCACTTTCAATACTCTCACAGAAGCAAAGGGAAGCAATATATACAAATATGGTGCTGCTGCTACTTCATTCTAATAAGATGGATCAGGTATATTATCTGTAAGATTTACATCAGTTTGCAATGGTTCTCCTTTGAACAATTGATGCATTAGAAACAAGGGGACCCATTAATAAACATCCAACTGCTACTGTTTATTCCCTGAGTCTTTTTCCAATGTTTATTTTTGTCATTGGATTGTTACAGGCTAGAGAACTAGTTGGCGCTCTACCTGGGATGTTCCCTGGTAGCTTGATGCCTGTACTTCTTCAAGCTGGTGTACATGTGAGAGAGAACAAGGCTGCTAAAGCTGAAGAAATACTTGGACAGTATGCAGATAAGTTTCCTGACAGGTCCAAGGTTATCCTGCTTGCAAGGGCTCAGGTTACTGCAGCTGCTGGCCATCCACAGATTGCAGCTGATTCCTTGGCGAAAATACCTGACATTCAACACAAGCCTGCAACTGTTTCCACTATTGTCTCTCTCATGGAACGGGCTGGAGATATTGATGGTGCCGATGCTGTGTTTGATTCCACAATCAAGTGGTGGTCAAATGCCATGACTGAAGACAATAAGCTCAATACCATCATGCAGGAGGCTGCTGCTTTCAAGCTCAGGCATGGAAGGAAAGAGGAGGCAGCACGCCTTTATGGGCAGCTAGTGAAAAGCCATGGAAGTAAGGTCCAAATGCTGGTGCCACTGAAACATACGGAGGGAAGATTAAGGATAAGGCGAAGAAAAAGAGGAAGAGAAAGCCAAAATATCCAAAGGGCTTTGACCCAGCTAATCCAAGACCTCCACCCAATCCAGAGAGGTGGCTTCCCAAGAGGGAGAGGTCTAGTTACAGACCAAAGAGAAAGGATAAGAGAGCAGCTCAAATTAGAGGTTCTCAAGGTGCAGTGGCTAAAGAGGCAGCGAGCAATAGCGATACGAAGTCAAACCAACCAGCTAATCCAAAAGGAGCCTCTCAGAATGCAGTGCAATCGAAGGCTTCATCCAAATCTCAACTTTGAAATTTGTTGCAAACAAATTGACACGCCTAGTGGGACCAAATCTGTCATCCATCTCTTCTCTCACAAATCAAATATGCCACAAAACCTCAAAGGTGGAAGAATGCATACTTCAAGCTCCGTCTTTGAGTTTATCAAGTCTACGCTCCGACAAGCCATGAAGCAGGGGACATTTGTAGACATTGAAATCTTGTGGGACTCTACAAGACGTGTCCAATTTCAATTTGGATTCTACAAGAGATGTTCAATTCCAGTTAAGGTTCTTGGAGGCTATCCACCCTAAAACCTAATTCATGACTATATAAAGGATACTATATTCCTTGAAAAGAAATCTCGAAAATTCCATAAATTCATGGGATATTCATCAAGAGATCAAGATGTAGCCTCATATGTTCGAGAAATAAGTCACTAACGACCCTCGAATTATGAAGATCAAGTCAAAATCATATTCTTAAGAGGGAGAAGAATCAAGGAAGGAACGGATTTGTACCTACACTGTTTATCAATATTTTTTTTTTATGTTTTTTCATATTTTATTTGTGATTACAATTTGTTTTCTATCACCTTTTTAAAAATTGTTGCAAACAGTGTGCATATGGCATTTCATTCAATTGAAACCTTTCACACGTGTAAAATTTTTGTTTCAAAAAGACTATGTCTTGATTCACTCCATCAATCATCGATAATTTGAAGAACTCGTCACCTACTTATGTAATACAGTTTATTAATTGACATGTGAATTGAAAGGTCCCACAAGATTATTTAAAAATAAATTATAAAAAAGACAATATTGAAAATCTATATTATTCCTAATTAGAATGCCTAAGTAGAGGACAAGAAACAAAAAAAATAATTCATATTAATTAACAAGAAGGAATAGCAGCACCGTTTTAAAATTTTAATAACTTCTATATAAAAAAATTGTTTTCATTCTTTTATTAGAGTTTATCATTTTAAATATTTAAGTATAATTTAAAGTACGAGTTATTTTTATATTTGCATAATTCAACTTCTTTCCATGCAATCAATTAAGAGAACAATAAGAATTTTAACTCTTAACTCATAGTGTTACTGATATGATTTAGTTGGTTTATTTTAAAAAGTTATATTATATTGATACGATTTTAAAATCACATTATTTTTAAGTTACTTAAATGATGCTGGCATGCCTTCTTTTTCCTTGATATATATGGAGATCTTTTTTTTTTTACATTTAAGTTTTTTTATATTGTCCTCTAGTTAAGCATTCTAATTAGGAACAATATAGACTTTTAAAAGTCTTTTTCTTAAATTTATTTTTAAATAATCTTGTGGGACCCTTCAGTCCACATGTCAATTAATCAACTATCTCACATAAGTAATGTTGATTATGCGACTCACAAAATAAAATTCTCGTTCATAACTTCTTTAGTTTTCTTCACATCCAGAGAAGATGAGAGAGAGCAAAGAGTAGCAGTTTCTAGCATTTCTCCTTTGGGAACAATATTTGCACTTTTATTGCTGTTTTTTTATGTCTAAGCTGGGTTTGGGCCGCTTGTTGATGTGAGGCCAAAATACATATTTTTAATTATTATTTGTCTCACATTTATTATTTATATTTGTCCTTTTTGAACATGGATTTTATGAATTGTACTTAATAGTAATTTTATTTGTAGGATTAAATTGGTGTGAAGATGAAGAAATTTAGAGCTAAAACGAATTAAAGAAGAAAGGTTGAAGAAAGAAATCAAGCAACCAGCAGAATGGATTAAATTGAATATAATAATATTATATATTATATAAAAGTTGCAAAGAATCAGAGTTGAATTGAATACCGCATTGCCACGTGTCAACATTTGAAGACACGCAACACTGAAGCGGCGGACCGACGCACGGAACTGTTCACGCAGAATCCTTTTAGGTTTTGGTTCCTAATTTGTTTTAGATTCAATTATTTTATTCAGGGTTTTTTACATCTATAAATAGTCCATACGAATAAATTATGAGAAAATTGTATATAATAGCAAATTATTAATTTAAATTAAATGCTATAAACATAGTTTGATTTAATTGTATCCTATAGCAAACTACTGCTCTTTTCACCTCTCTCTAGTGGAATCTCGCTCGTCTCTCTCTTTTTGGTGGCAGTCTCGCCCGCCTCTCTCGCTTTTATACAAACACAAATTTATAAAATGTGTTTGTGTTTGTATAAAGCGAGAGAAAATTGTATAGATACATATATTTTCATTCCCCTCTCCCAAATCTCGCTCGCCACTCTCTCAGATTTCACTCGCCTCTCTCATTTTATACAAACACAAATGCATACATTGCGTTTGTATTTGTATAAAGCGAGAGAAAATTGTATAGATACATATATTTTCATTCCCCTCTCCCAAATCTCGCTCGCCACTTCTCTCAGATTTCACTCGCCTCTCTCATTTTATACAAACACAAATGCATACATTGCGTTTGTATTTGTATAAAAGTCGAGAGAAAATTTGTATATACAATACAAATGCATGTATTTTCGTCCTATTACACTTATGATTATACAAATACAATCTTCCCCTACCCAATTTTCTTTTGTCTTTCTCTCTTTCTCGCTTTATACAAAAACATTATTATACAATTGATCTTTTGTATATGTATACCGAAATAGATTAAACAACTGCTTTCTTTGTATATGTATAGCGAAATATACATATTTATGTTTGCTATGGAGCGCAATTATGCAAATTATAGTTATAACATACAAATATGATTTTAATGTTTGCTATATGTGAAGGTTGCTCATAAATTATTAAGGGAGGAGGATACAATGTAGAAATTAACTTTTAATTTAGGGTTTCATCTTTTCTTCTCTTTTATTTATTTTATATCTTTTCTTTGAATGATTCATTGTAATTGCTCTATGTCTATGTGGAGTTAAACTTCTCGTTCTTGGATTATATTTACTTACAATATGATTGTTTGGTGATTTTAATTCGGCATGATTTGTTTATCATATTAGTTGTTCTTATATTCTTGTTTTTCGTATTTCGTGCCTGATCACCATTGAAATAAACACATTGTCTGAATTGAACTCGGGAGAGGAATAAGAGGATAGAACGTGGAATATAAGGAGCATGATCTTTTCTTGCATGTCACTTGAATTGATTTGTGTCTAGGATATGGATATACCTAGGTGTCTTGCTTGGCTCAAATACGGGAAGACAACTTAATGCTCTATAGTTGATCCAGTATCCCCGCTCAACGATGTAGTTAGCTGTCAATTGTGGTAGACGGTTAGAGGTCGGGAGATCATGACTATATTATCAACCCGTGAATCAACAACTAGATAATCAAATAAGTTGATGAAATTGATGCTAAACATGATTGTTAGTTAAATCATAATCCTAGATCGATTCATTCATTGATTGCGTAAACATCTATCTTTTCTTAGTTAATTGATTTTTAGTTATTTTATCTTTATTTTTAGTTTAGCTAATATATATTCATCTTTGAAATCCTCCTCCTTAGATAAATAATTAGAATTAGTATAATTTAGTAAATAGTTAATCGACAAGTCTTTTGGGTTCGATAATCCGATTCTTATAAGAGTCACTATATTACTTGTGCGATCACGTACACTTGCGTGTGCAATTGAAAGCAACACTTGTTCGAGGAAAATCCTTTTCTTGATTTGCTTTATTGGGTTGTTGTGGCCATTTTATATGTTATTATGAATAATTATGTATTTCTCCTTCCTTTTTATATTAGTTGATCATTTTTCTTTTTACACGCTTATTAAGAAATCATAAATAAAAGTATAATTTTACTAATTTAGTCCTTAAAAAATTTCTTGGAAATTTTACAAACAAATGTGAACACTTTCAAAAAATAATAATTATAACAGTGATAAAGAGGAAAAATTTAATTAATCCTTTCTTGATTTAGAGGTGTACAACTAAGAGTCTGTTTGTCGTCGTTGTTGGGAGGCCAGAAGTGCTTTTTTTGAGAAAAAAACACTTATTTTGAAAAATTAAGTGTTTGACAAATTCTTAAAATTGCTTTTAAATAGAAGCATGAACAGTTTTTCTACTGTTAGGAAGAAGCTAAATTTTTGCTGTAAAAAAAAGCAAAAGTAGAAAATCATTTTTTTAAGACTAAAATATCCCTTACATACATACATATTTATCAATATATCCCTTATTAATTGATTAACATATCTCATAAGTTTGACCCTTTTAAAATAAACAGTTTTTATCAGCAATGCCAAACAGGCTCTAAGATGAGACACTTATTTTTAGTAAGATGATCAACTAATATGAGATCGAGGGAGTATTGCAATGGAAAAGAATAAAAAAATATTCTTAAAATACACGAACTTGAACAAAAATACCCACATTAACAATTTGGTTTTAAAAATGCACTTGTTGTAATACTTTGGTCTAAAAATGGCCTTGTCATTAATTCTTTGATCCAAAAATATAAATATTATTACTTTGGGGTAAACAATATCTCTTTTCCGAATACACATATTGTTTATTTTTCCTTTTAAACACATTATTTTCCTAATCAATAGAAGACATATATATAAGATCATAGTAACCTCATCACTAATTTTTGTTTAGATAATAATTTTTAAAAATTCTAATAAAATAGAAAATATTATTATTTTTTAATCTTTCTTGAATTGAAATAGGATAAACATTTCCTAAATATTCATTGATTTTAAGTTAATATAAAAAAATTATCAACAATAACTCCATCGATGATATTTTGTTTATTTGAAGCAATGTTATAAAGTTTATATTTTATGGCATTATTGTTGAACTTTAAAACCAATGATCATACTAGCAAATGTGTTTTCTTTTTCAATTTGAAAATATTGAGAAATAATTTTTTTTATTGTTTTATTAGGAAAATGAATTTATCATTATTCAAATGAAAAATAATGATAGATTATTATGATCTTTTATATGAAAATTAATGATGAATTATAATATTTTATCAAAAAAAGAATGTGTAAATAAAAAAACAATGTTTTTATTAGGAAAAGACATTTTAATCCAAAAATAGAAAAAAATATATTTTTGGACAAAATTATTAGGGGGTTGTTCGAACCAAAACATTGAAAAAGAAGAAGATAATTTTGAACCAAGATGATATTTATTGACCGTTTTTTCCGTCCGTTATTCCCTTGTTAAGTCTGTTCTAGCGTATACCAACTTATACCAAAAGTCCATTATAGCACAACAACGTCTTACCAAAAGTATTCCCTTTGTTGGTCATCATCTTTCCATTACACAAAATCTTAAACCTAAATAAAGCAAAATTCCACAATCGATAGTTTCTGGCGATGATTCTTTTGAAGCTGCTCTTTACACCGCCATCAATTCCGACATTGAAGCTGCTCTTTAGGTCACTTCATGTAGTTAATTTAGGTGGAAACCCAGAAAAAGAACAAAGGAGAACTTAAGAATAATGAAAATTAGAACTATAAAGCAATGAAGAACAAGAAAGAAGAGATAACTTTATTTGATAATATAGTCTTTTCTCACTGCCTAAAACTTACACTTATAATAAAGAACTAACTTCATGGTCCTTAAAA